ATCCATTTTCTTCCGCTTATCCGGGGTCGGGTCGCGGGGGTAGCAGCCTAAGTAGGGAGGCCCAGACTTCCCTCTCCCCAGCCACTTGGGCCAGCTCTTCCGGGGGAATCCCGAGGCGTTCCCAGGCCAGCTGAGAAACGTAGTCCCTCCAGCGTGTCCTGGGTCTTCCTCTGGGCCTCCTTCCAGTGGGACGTGTCCGGAACACCTCACCAGGGAGGCGTCCAGAAGGCATCCTAAATAGATGCTCGAGCCACCTCAACTGGCTCCTCTCGACGTGGAGAAGCAGCGGCTCTACTCTGAGTCCCTCCCGGATGATCGAGCTTCTCACCCTATCTCTAAGGGAGAGCCCAGACACCCTGCGGAGAAAACTCATTTCGGCCGCTTGTATCCGAGATCTCGTTCTTTCGGTCACAACCCAAAGCTCATGACCATAGATGAGGGTGGGAATGTAGATCAATAGGTAAATTGAGAGCTTCGCCTTTTGACTCAGCTCTCTCTTCACCACGACAGACCTGTACAGCGCCCGCTTCACTGCAGATGCTGCACCTATCCGCCTATCGAACTCACGCTCCATTTTTCCCTCAATTTCACTAGTAAATGGTAAATGGACTGTACTTATATAGAGCCTTTCCATCTTATCACAAACAAAACTGGTTTGTTCCACTTTGGAGAAAGCTGATGGGGGAAGAATCAGTTTTGTTGTGCATTTCTTTGACTGATGAAGCCTTCTGGATCGAAGGCGAAACGTTTCAGCACAAAAAAAGAAACTGTCAAGATGACTTGACTGAAAAATGTTGGGGAGGATAACAGGAACTTAATTTTTAAGTCCCAAATGTACTCCAAAGCTTCCTTTAAAACTATAAATGTACTTATGTTACTGCACTTTATTTTACAATAAACATAAAAACAGCAGCCTAAAAGGAAAAGAACATTTGTAACCACAAGTTCTTAATCAAAACCTCCATTTCCCATCAAGCCCAGTCTTTCAGTTTCACATTAACTATGCATGTACAGTAACTGTGTACAGATGTGATGTGTCTGTATTTGGCAGACATCATGACTTACGTTTTCCTGATCCCCCATATCAGGCTTGTGCCACGTCTCAATCTTAATCATGAACTTGTCTTTCATATAGGTGTTCTGTAATTATGGGAGAGAGCAGGAAGAATGTGTTAATAGTATCAAGATTAGTAGTGCACAATATTTATCCATTTATCTTGACCACATGCAGTCAAAGGCTGGAGTCTGTATAACCTTCAGGAATACTTACTGTAAGGACTGGATCAGAAGACGTTGTTGACCGAGATGGGAATATGAGCAAGGGACAAAAATAAAGATTTTATAAGATTTTAACACCGAGTATTGCATTTGGGGAAGTCCGCATGAGATTTTGACGAGCATGACTATTAACAAGGTTGAGTTGCTCACATGCAGCTGAGTGTGTGCAGCAAGACTTACTTGTTCGACAGTAAGGATATGCATTCCAGGCCTTCTCGTGAACCTCCAGAGAACCTTTTGGAGCAATGATGCGAATGAAATTAGGCACTTTGCTGCAGAGAAATAAGCATAGATTCTATGTTTATTTATGGTTTTCTGTTAGAATGAGACATTTGTGACATAATCTTCTGACATAATCCTATAAAGTTATACATCTGTAGAATTTAATTGAATGCAGCAAAATTGTACAAGCACTAAAGAGGCTTTACATAACTCCATACAGGAAAAGTAGATTAGCTCAAAGGCTAGGTGGGACAAGACCATTCCTGTCCCACCTAGCCTGAAGTCAATATGTTCTTCTTTTGGTTGTTCTCTTATCAGGAGGTGCCACAGTGAGTCCTCGTCCTCCATCTCACTGTCCTCTGCACCCTCTGTCCTCACTCCAACTACCTCCATGTCCTCTCTAACTGCATCCATATATCTCCTCTGTCTTTTTCCTGGCAGCTGCATTTCTAACATCCTTCTACCAATATACCCACTGTCCCTCCTCTGGACATGTCCAAACCACTGTCCCTCCTCTGGACATGTCCAAACCACTGTCCCTTTTCTGGACATATCCAAACTACTGTCCCTCCTCTGGACATGTCCAAACCACTGTCCCTCCTCTGGACATGTCCAAGCCACCTCAGTCTGGTCTCTCTAACTTTATCTCCCAGTTGTTCAACCTGTGCTCTGATGATCTCATTCCTAATCTTATCCATCCTCGTCAGTCCCAAGGAGAACCTCAACATCTTCATTTCTGCTACTTCCTGTTCTTTCTCCTGTCTTCATGTCAGTGCCAAACATTAAAACATAGCTCATAATCTAGAGAGATCCAGGCCTCTTATCTCCTCAACACATTTAAGCATTAAGTGTTTTTACAGAATGTGTCCTTTTTCTTACAGGGGACATAAATCTGACTGTCGTCAGCATAGCAGTAGCATGCAATGCCATGGTTTCTGAATACAGACCCAATGGGATGCAAATAAAGAATAATTAGGAGGTGACCTAAAAGTGAGCCCTGTAGGATTCCACATATGAGGAGCAGAGGAAGAAACGTGGTCAGAGGCTAACACAGATCACTTTTACTGGCCTGCAGCACCGGTCACCTGAATGATGTTCAAACTATGTAGAACTTGCAAAACATAAAGGTGACACGTCTTGGTTTAAATGGAGTATTACACATGTCCAAACATAAATGGTTCCTACATGAGATAAAGACAGGAAATGCTGAGAAGAGGAACGAGTTTCTGACATGAATGAAGAGTATAATCAGCCAGGAGTCAACCTGAGTGCCTACCTTTGCAGGTGGTATATTTTATGAGTGTATTGCCCCTTCTCTCCATTCTGTTCATATGGCTCATTCACAAGCACCTCTACTCCTTCTCCTCCTCCAGTCTCACTCTTACTGGCTTCAGCTACTGCATACAGCTGGCCCACCTGGTACTAATCAAACAATCAGAAAAGACAGTATGAGTATGGGTTTTCTATGTACTTGAAAAAAAATCGAAACAAATTGTGATATTTTCTCAAAATTAGCTGGCTCTAACTTCAGATTAGCATTTTTGGTTAATATTAAACACAGAAACAAAGTTTCTGGTTAATAATAATAATAATTTTAAAAAATGTCTAAAACACTGCTCCTAAAATAGTTTGAAATAAATAAAAACAATAAGTGTTACAGCAGTTAAATGTATAAACCAGTTATAGACTAGTGCAGGGCTATTCAACTAAACTGCTCAGGGGGCCACAGTTTCTGAAAGCCAGCAGCTCGGGGGCCGCACATCCAGCGACTCAAATCATTATGTAAATAAACCAAAGCTTACAATCATCCGTTAACTTTTAAATGGGTTTATTTTAGAGCATAGCATCATAAATACAATAAACAGAACCAAAAACCCCACACACATTTTATTTATTTATTTATTTTTATGAATAGCCCGGACTAGTGTGAATAAGTCTCGTCATTTTTAACTATCGGTGTAAATGACAGAGTAAACTATTTTCCAACAATTCTCAGACTTCTGTAGTGGAAAACCAGTAGAGGAAGCTTCTTTTTGACTGGTTTCACCTTCTCTTCCTCTTCCTCCTCGACTGTCCTGAGTCAGGGAAAAGTGTTGCAATAGAACAGGAAAACTGACTCACAAACTTTAACAAATGTACAAAGATTTCAATCACAAGCAAAATAAAAAGGTTAAAGGTCGTTTTGGCAGCACTGAAACATTGGGTCCACTAAAGCAGCAACTGGTTTTTACTTTTTCTGTAGGACTAGTTATGGGGGTGATGGTTCAGGACACTGTCGCCTTGAGCAGTTCAGCTACACAAAGAACTAACTCAAAGAGGATCCCTGCTGCTTCTCATGCCACGGTTCAAGTCTAAGATCATCTCATGTTGAAACGTGACAAAGCTGTAGCCGTTTTAGGAAAACGTTGAAAATATGACGCTCAGTCTCATGCGCCATCACAAGATGTTGAGTGTGCGTGACGTGAATGACTGCGCTACAAGCACGCAGCGTTTACGCTCAGTAGCTGCAAAACGGGCCGACTTACAGACACGTTTGACTCTGCAGGTGGCAGTTTCCTGCTGCGGCCGTCTTGACGGCTTGGCAGTAGAAGTTTGTCAGTTGTAGAGATACATCTACCAGACAAAGGTGAGCGCAAACCGATTCCACATTCCTGTGGCGGACAATACAAAGAATCTTGTAAGTGATCAGCAGCAAAGCCTGTCCTCCCCAGAGGCAGGGCATTGCTCCAGGCTGCTAACCTACTTTGACAGCACCGGCTTGTCAGCCTTGCCTGTGTGAGTTGCTGCTGAAGAATGTGGCTGTTTGTGAAGAACGATCCGGTTTTATCAGTGTCAGGCGTACGCAGACAGGAACACCACATCCAGCAGCAGCACACTGTCATCAGGAAGGAACAATGCAACATGTCCAGGCACCTCCATCTATCAGGTTTGTCAGAGAACAAGCTGGTTTGCCGAGTCACGTCCTAAAACAGGCCGACAAAGACGAGGGGACTACTTTATGTTCTTACAAAACCACTGGATTCAATCCTCAAAATGACTAAAACTTTTGGAGACAGTCTACCAACAACGTTTTATTGTCTACTGCAGAAAAGTGAAAGGCAAGAAAAGGTTTTTCCCGTGAGAGGGACTGCACCTAAAGTCGAGGTGTGGCCTGGCAGGAAGGCGGCGGGCGATATGCATTCCTGCCAGGCGTTTGTTTGGTTCTGTGCCTAATAAGTTTTATGTACTGTACTTCATACTTGCATCATAATTTACTGGATGACAATAAAAGCTGGTAACAGATTTCAGTTTATCAAGGCGGACATCATTTTCATCCATTGTAATGTTGATAAATGCCATAATCTATACTAAATAAACTATTTTTCAGATTTTAAGGGAGTCAAGACTTGTTGACCTTTGCTTCTTTTGATTTATTCTCTGTTTGTAAATTATCCTTTTAGAGTGCTGTAACCCTCGATCAATAATAACTTTACAAAACATCAGTGTCACGCATACTTGATCCATTTTATGGGAGATCATGAGAACTGCCTTCACTCCTCTGTTGAGAACATCTGGGTGAAAGTAACAGTGTGTGTGTGGCGGGGGTGGGGGTGGGGGGGGACTAATCTTCCAACTGGAAACAGTGTTTTATCAGCACACTGACATCTTGTCTTGTGCCACTGATGTGCTCTATCTGCTACGTTTCATATTTTTGCTAAAAAGGCTTACATCATGATGACTTGGTTTTCTTTGTTATATTCATGTCTTCATTTTTTAATAAATGTTGGTGTTTTATGTAACGGTTACATGAATTACAAACTACGATTACAAAGGATGCAATAATCAGTGGATCTATATTAGATTACTGGATGAATTTAAAGTAATCATTAATAATTGTGTGACAATCACCCTTCTTTTTCAGTGACTTCATGTTGGCTGCTTGCAGGGCAGCTTCTTTAGTTTTAGTTTTTGGACATACCAAGTCCCTTCAGGAGTTCATAAGGTGTTAATAATTCAGGAGTTAATAATCACAGAGTTGTGACTGCTCTGTGATTACTGCATTCATTCTTTTGGTTTGACGATTAAGAACAGTTTCTAGACCAAGCACAACTAAATGTTCATGTGTTTGGTGAAATGTGCAGTTTAATAATCATGTTGGTCTCACCTCTATCAGCACACAGGGGTTACACTTTCACATTACTGATGACAAAGCTACATCACTCACCTGATCCAGCTCAAAATATTGGAAAAACTCCACATAGTTGCTCAACAAAAGGAAGAATTAAAACGTTTCACAGCCAACCTTTCACACTGAGGGGGGTCAGAAGAAAAGATGGTTGCACAGCAAACCATGATGGGGTGTTTCAGTGAAATACTGATTTCTGCTCAGTGTTGGGCAACAAGCAGTAAGACTTTACTGTTGTAACATTGGGATTAAACACGATGAGACCAAAGGGAGGGGATCATCTAGAAAAGGGGTGTCCAGACTTTTTCATCATGGAGCTCCTTTTAAAATGACCAAGTCAAACCTGATGTAAGGCCCCATTTACACCAGTACAACCTCTGGAAACAATGGTGTTTTTTCAGTGTTTACTGGGGTAATAAACAAAAACTGATCGGGTTTACATGAAAACGCTGTAGTTTCCATGTCAGTCGGGTTGCCAGATAAGAAACTATGAACTATAGTACTCTTGGGCACTCTTATTGAGCATGCATCACGATATAGTACTGTGGCTTTAAAATTGACTGCACGTATAACACCTTTCTATCTGATGAAGTGATATAGGAATGATTATTTTGTGATGCTTTTATGTCAATTTATACTTATATTACACTCATTTACATGTAGTTTGAAAACACACTTATATAACGTGTTATTCACATATTAGGGATTGTACTTTGTTTAACATGTCACAAAGACAAAGGGGGGGAATGATTTATGTTGCCTTTGTTAATATTTGGGACATTCTTTGATGGTTTGCAGAGGGATGGAGGGGTGCGTGTTTCCTCTTTAGGAAGTTTAAGGAGTATTTCTGGCTTCAAGGTCTTGGCCCGCCTTGAGGTCACACTGCTCCTTATTTGTAATAAATCACCAGCTCCTCATCCGTTGTTCTGGTAACCATCAAAACTTGTTTTTCACTGCTCTCACGCGATCCGGTCAGGGAAAGGTATATAAGAAATGTAACAAACACAGAGAGTCGGAAGTCTTGTGTGGACCAGCGCGCGCTGGTGCCATGCGCAATTTTGATGTGATTCTTCTTTACCTGGGTCGAAAACGACTTCCCGGCCAGTGTCACGGTGAGAAGTTCTTTCATATCATTTTGTGTGTTAAGAGTGTACAAGTGTACATGTTTTTTGCTTGGCTGTTTTCTGTGGCAGGTTAATAAATGACACTTGTTATTCCTAGCAGTAACAGTCTCTGGTGTTTTATTTTTTCCTTGTCTGAATATCTGTGCCGATCGTTCACGAGCCCTTTTGATAAAGAATTTCATAATACATGAAGACACACAAAGCTGTTTACAACACAATCTGTGCCTCATTTACCCATTCATACAGCACTCTACTAGATCTCTACAAAGAATAATCTGAGCTTTATCACATTCATACACTTATGGAAGACACATCAGAGGCAATGAGGGGTTCAGTGCCTTGCCCAGGGACACTTGGGGATGTGACTGCTGGTGGATTCAAACCCCCCCAACTCTTGCAGTGGAGGACAACGGCTGACCACTCAGCTACAGCTGCCCAAAATTTAAAATTATAGTACTTTGACCTAAACTGTCATATGTGCTGAGTAAAGATATACTAAGGAGGGGATAAATAAGACATTTTAAATGTATCTGGCAACCCTGATGCCAGCTCAGCTGCATTCATTGTACAGGCAGCGTCTGCATGACAGTTACGTCCAAACTGGTGAACCCACCAACGTCTCTCTGGAGCCTGGATTTTATTAGTTTAGCTCCTACATGCTGAAAAAGAGTGAGCAGCACAAAAACACTCTGCTCTCCGACATTTATTACAACCGTTGTTATTTTATTACAACCGTTATTTTTATTACAACGGTTGTCATTTTATTA